CAGCTGAAAAGAAGTGGAATCAGAATTCGACATAGGTTTGCTTGACTGTAAAGCTGTGTGTGTGTCCCCACAGCATGCTGCAGAGTCTGTGGTCCTGGTTTGCTCTTCTTTTAATGGTGCAAAGGCCTTACGATGTTCACAGACTACATATGAAAAGGGGGAAATGACTGGGAGCCACACCATTTAATTCTATAACCCAGGAGGCAGTGGCAAGAGGATCTGCACATGTCAAACAGGATGTTGAAAGATTGAGAAAAATGTTAATTATCTTCCCTTCTCTACTGATAAGAACTCTTTGTTTTAAATCCTCACCTAAGGATATGTTTTTTGTTGATTTTTTCTGAGAGAGAAAAACAAACATTTGGGTTGCCTCCAGTATGCACCCCAACTGGGAATCGAACCTGCAACCTGGGTATGTGCCCTTATCAGGAATTGAACCCACAACCCTTTGGTGTATGAGACAACACTCCAACCAACTGCGCCACGTGGCCAGGGCTAACTCATTTTTTAAAGACCAACTATCAATGGCCAACTGTGGGGAGGTTAAGATAGAAATGAGCGTACTGCTGCCTTCCTTCGTTTGTTCTGGTGTGCTCTGCAGTGTTTGTACCTGCAGGGATCTGCTAGGGATGTGACAGTGACCTCTTTACTGCCCCAGAGTACCGTGATAGGAGACACAGACCGGCTCCCTCCCCCGCATGACCGAATTCTGGGAGGTCCCCATGAGCAGGCCTGTGTGTGTGTATCATTGTCACGATGTGCTATGGGCAACACTCCCAGGTATGAGGCAGGGTCTGTTGAATTCCACGGCTGACCTGGATTCAGAAAGCAGTGTTAGGACTAGAGACCGCTGCCAGCGTTTGCGTACCCTAGGCTTCCTCTACACAGCCCTGCCCCTCGCAGGCTTTCAGAAGTCTCTTCCTGAGCTGAAAAGCAGCTGATGTGAACCACAGAGTAGAAAGTGAATGATTGGGCATCGCATGGGAGGGAGGGAGAATCGTGGAGAGAGGATACTCAATCCAGAGGATGCCCAATCAGAACAGCAAGACAGGCCTTGACAGACCTGTTCTCTAATGTCCGAGGGAAACCGAGTCTCGGGAGTTGAGTGGCTTGTCGGTGTTCACCAGCCAAGCCGTGGGAGCCGAGTCAGGACCGGAGTCTGGACTTTAGAGAGTGTTCCTTTTCCCTCTCAGATATTTAATCACCTGGTGTGTGCATTTCTCCAACAATGAGGACAATGGAGAGGCTGACTTCTGGGAAGCTCTCCTATGGAAATTGCCTCAAACAATAACTATGAAAATACCAATGTACACAAGATTGTTCAGTGAAATCTTATTTATATTTCTGAAGCACTAGAAATAAACACAAATGGTCCAAGGTAGGGAAATGGTTAGGAAAATATGGTGAATACAGTTGATTAAATATTAAATAGCCATTGGAATTATATATAGGGAGACTGTAGCCAATATAGGGATTTTTTAAATTATATAATTATAGGCAAAGAAAAAAAGGAAATATTTGTATATCATGGTAGCCTTGTTTAAAACACACATGACCAGAAAATTAAAATCTGATAGGTAATAAGCCCAAATACTAATGATGGTTATTATGAGATTATGAGATTTGATTTTTTTCTTCTCCACATTTTCAATTTTTAAAACTATGATCTGACTGGAAAAGAAAGAGACGGTAATGTGGGACAAATTGTTTGGCTGGGGTGACTCTCCAGTGCTTGCATTCTGTGATGCTTTGAATCTGGGCTGTCCCAGGTGCCTGCAGATGTTATGATGGAGCAGGAGTTAGTCCAGCAGTGGCTGAGGGGCAGGAGGGTCCTCCGGGAAGTGGAAGTGGGTGTTTAAAGATCCAGGACTTGGCTATTGTTCCGGGGATGATTGGGTGTGACCCTGAATTTGGGGACAAGCAGTAGGCTCTTGATTGTAGGGTAATTTATTTGTAATTCTAACATTGCGTAGCCAGACCCACATGCCGCTGAAAGGGCTGGTAGGGCCCCATCCTGGCCCCTGCCTCCTGGCAGGGGGTGGGGGTGGGGGCGGGGGAAGAGAAAGAAAAGCTCTTGTTGGCTCCAGACTTCCAAAGAAATGGGAATGGTGCATCTGCAACATTTCCAGCTTTCAGCTTTCATGTCCCCTTTTCTTTGCAGGGACTTTTTTTTTTTTTTTTTTTTTTTTTTTTTTTTTTTTTTTTTTTTTTTGGCCAAACCTGTGCTGGGGTGGATGGTGAGTGGCTTCAGAACCCTTGTTCTGAGAAAATGCATCATGTCTGCCGGCACTGCAGTCTGGGATGGCGATGTGGGGCAGCTATAGGGTGTTGGTCTGGGAGCCTGGACAGGCTGTACTTGTCCTGGCACCACAAGTAATTAGCTGTGTGGCCTTGGGCAAGTGACCTCACCTCTCTAGACTTTCATTTCCTTCCTCATAACATGCAGGCGCCAGGGTGGGTTTATGAGTCCCTGCCAGTTCCTACCTTATCCATCTAGTCCTATAACTTTACTTTTTTTCATTTTTTAACTTAAGCAACAGACATTTATTTCCTCACAGTTCTGTAGGCTGGAAGTCTAAGATCAAGATGCTGGTGATTTTGGAATTTTCTGAGGCCTCTCTCCTTGACTTTATTTATTTATTTTTAAATAAATCTTTATTGTTCATATTATTACAAATGTTCCTCTTCCCCCCCCCCTCCATTTCTCCCCTCCACCAGGTTTCCACTCCACCCTCTGCCCTTTCCCCACCCCTCATTGTCCTCATCCATAGATGCACAGTTTATGTTCAGTCTCTTCCCACATCCCCCTCTCCCCTTTCCCTGAGAATCGTCAGTTCACTCCCCTTCCATACCTCTGATTCTATTATATTCAACAGTTAATATTGTTCATCAGATTTTTTTTTTAATTTCCTTGGTTTTTAGATTCACTTGTTGATAGTTACGTATTTGTTGTTCATAGTTTTTATCTTTATTTACTTTCTCTTCTGAAAGAACCCCCTTCAGCAATTCATATAATTCTGGTTTGGCAGTGATGACTCCTTTAGCTTTTTTTTTATTGGTGAAGCGCTCTTTATCTGGCCTTTGATTCTGAGTGATAGCTTTGCTGGGTAGATTATCTTTGGCTGTAGGTTCTTACTATTCATCACCTTGAATATTTCTTGCCATTCCCATCTAGACTGCATGGTTTCTGTTGAGAAATCAGCTGACAATCGTATAGGTGCTCCTTTATAGGTAACTACCTGCTTTGCTCTTGCTGCTTTTAATATTCTCTCTTTGTCTTTTGCTCTTGGAATTTTAATTATGATTTGTCTTGGTGTGGTCTTCTTTGGATTCCTTTTGTTTGGAGTTCTGTGCGCTTCCTGGACTTGTAAGTCTAATTCTTTCACTAGGTGGGGGAAGTTTTTTGTCACTATTTCTTTCAGTATGTTTTTGATATCTTGCTCTCTCTCATCTTCTGGGACCCCCATAATTCTGATGTTGGTTCGCTTGAAGTTGTCCCAGAGGTTTCTTACATTATCTTCAACTTTCTGGATTCTCTTGTCTTCTTGCTTCTGCGGAGGAGTGTCTTCTGGCTCTTTATGTTCCAAATCTTTGACTTGATTCTTGCGATCTTCCATTCTGTTTTTAATGGAAGATCTGTATAATGTTTTATTTCAGACAATGTATTCTTTATTTCTTGTTGATCCCTTATTATTTCTTGTTGATTCCTTATTATTTCTAGTTTCTCCCTTTTCATATCCTCATAGGACTTATCGATCTTTTCTAGGAAATTCTTAAAAAAACCTTATAAGCATGGTTTTGAACTCTATATCCAGACGCTTTTTGTCCTCCATTTCTTTTGTTTGTGATCTATTTCCTTGTCTCGGCATTTTCGCAGCTTCCCTGATATGGCGGAGTTTCAGGGTGGAGCGTACAGCCACGTCAGCCCTGCCCTATGCGGCTCCTGAGTCTCAGTGTTCCATTGTGTCCTTCAGTACTCACTGCAAGCACCTCTGAGAGTGAGGTGCCCTCTAGTTTCGCCTGCTACCAAACAGTCTAGTCTCTCCCCCAATGAGCTCGGAACTGGGGTTCAGAGCAGTCTGGAGCTTTTGTCTCCTTCCCACCAGGGCAATCCCACAGCACAGTGGTTTGGTAAATATTTTTAAGTGCTGTTTTATTACCATTGCTATCAACTGGTTGATCAGCCATTATATATATATATATATATATATATATATATATATATATATATATATATATTTTTTTTTTTTTTTTTAATGTGTTACACAAACATACAAAGCTCTTCTTTGTAGCAGGAAGCAGTCTTTCCTTTATCTTCAAGGGAAGTGATGCATGCATTTTGGGGACAAAGTGTCATGGATGGTGTGGCTTAGTGTGATAGTTGCTTGTCGGCAGTTGGTATGTGTGAGTGTGTGTGTGTGTGTGTGTGTGTGTAGGTGTGCACTGTGCCCATGATGGTGTGGGTTTTCCCCCTTTAATGTCACTGCTGAGAACACATCTGTATCGGTAGTTGCTACTACCCGCTGTCAAGCTAGGAGTTTAGTGGTGTTTGGTATAATTTCTGGACACAAATTTATCAGCACAGTGGGTGTTGGGGTTAGCTTTTCGGCAGGTGCCCATTAAGCAGATGTGCTCCACTGCACTAAGGAAGATGTAATAGTTTTGCCCAAGAACTACTGCACTGACAGCAGCAGATCAAAGTGGGGATGTTCATTCCAAGCATCTCCAGACCAGAAACTGTAGTGGGACAGTCTATAGGAGACCAGAGGGAGGGAGACCTTGGAGAGTCACCCTGTCACACTTGAGCCGTTGGCCGGGTGCAGCCGCTTGTCATGCTGGTGTCCGTCCAAGTCGGGCCCCCTCTGCGTGTCATCACCATAAAAGGTAGAACATGTGACATGAGTGCATTGTGCGTGGGAAACTTGTTGTTACTGACCACCCCCCTGGCAGAGGGGTAAGTAGACTCACAGGTTGGCATAAACACAAACCCCAGAGAGGGTCTTGAAAGGAAAGTAACTGTTGACTTCTCCCATCTTTTCTTTGTTACCTCCTAACTCAGATGGAAAACCCACACCACCTGGGAACACTAAGAGGCACAATAATACCATGTGTAGCACCCACAGAGTTACATGAGCAAAGGCTCAGGGGCCAGCGGAGAATGAAGAAGCCGATCCGGCCAGGATCTGAGTCCGTGGGGCATGTTTTGGGTTTCCCTGTGGGAGGCGGGTGGCAAGGGGCTCATGCCTTTCCCAGCACTAATTTACACCTGGTGTTCATGCTTGACGGTCATTATCAATAGGAAGGGCTCCGGAGATCCAGTCTAAACTCAGAGGACCTTTGTGTTCACAGAGAGCCCTGTGGGTTCTTACCGAGGAGACTCTTGGTGCTGACAGTGTCCTGCATCAGATGGGTGTTGGATGACCTGGGTTTCGTTTTACATCTGCTAATGGTGCATATGGATCTCTTTCTCTCTCCTTGACATTTTTAGAGAGACAGAAAGCCTTGATGGGGTCCTCTTTTTGATGCTGACTTATGTTGTGGCCTGACACGGTTTCCTGACATTGCCGGCCCCAATTCCTCTTACAAACACGAGGGGTTCATTTTCAGTGGTTCAGCTCAGCTGCACATCGGGCACCCAGGAAGATTTTGAACATACTGACATGCAGGCTGCACCTCAGAGCAATTACATAAGATTCTCTGAGGGTAGGAAATAGGCACTGGAATTTTTGAAGGTTTCTCAAGGTTAAGGAGTTTTGTTTAAAAGAGTGCTTCCCGCCCTGGCCGGTTTAGTTCAGTAGATAGAGAATTGGCCTGTGGACCAAGGGTCCCAGGTTTGATTCCGGTCATGGGCATGTACCTGCATGTGCAGGAGGCAATCAGTCTGTTTCTCTCACATCGATATTTCTGTCTTTTCCTCTTTCTTCCATTCTCAAGTCAATGGGAAAATATCCTTGGTTGAGGATTAAAAAGAAAAAGAAAAAAAATAAGGTAATTTATTTAAAAAGTAAAACAGAAGAGTGCTTTTCAAACTAAAACCTAATCTGACCATCTTGTTAAAATGCAGACTCAGAGTCCTTAGGTCTCTGAGATTCTGCATTTCTAACAAGTTTCCAGGGTTGCTGATTCAACTGGCTTACAGACCAAGCTTTGAGTAACAAGATTCAGGATCCAAATAGGATCCATGGTACAAGGCACAATAATTATGTTTGCAAAAATGTGGCACAAGCACTGCACTAGGAAATGAGCACAGAACTAGCAGGAACGCTCTGGCAGATACATCAGGGGCTGCTGCAAGGAGGAGATGGCAGTGGAGAGCCCCGTGAACAACGAGGGGCTTTCTTTGGGTAGAATCTGATTGTGTCCTGGTTCTCCAGAGAAACACAACCAATAGGATGTGTGTGTAACAATACTAATTTTAAGAGACTGGCTTATGCACTGTGGACACTGGCAAGTCTGAGGTCTGCAGGGCAATACTGCAGGCTGGAGACCCAGGAATGGTCAATGTTGCAGCCCAAGTCTGAAGACAGTCTGCTGGCAGAATTCACTCTTCTTTAGGGGAGAGCACTCTTTTTCTATTAAGATCTTCAACAATAACCTGCTTTCCTCAGAGTCCGCTATTTGAATGTAATCTCATCTAAAACTGCTTTCACTGAAACATCTAGAACAGTGGTCCGCAAACTCAGTCAACAGAACCAAATATCAACAGTACAATGACTGAAATCTCTTTTGAGAGCTAAATTTTTTAAACTAAAACTTCTTCTAACGCCACTTCTTCAACATAGATTCTCCCAGGCTGTGGTATTTTGTGGAAGAGCCACACTCAAGTGGCCAAAGAGCCCCATGTGGCTTGTTAGCCACAGTTTGACCACCATGGATCTAGAATATCATTTGACCAAATATCTGGGTTCCGGATCTAACATAAAATTAACCATCACAATGAGGGGGGAGGTTTTCCAGTGTCTTTCAGCCTTTGGGGACTATAGCTGGAGAGGAGGGAGCTGTGGGCCAAGGGAGCAAGAAGGACTTCTAGGCTCTTCTTAACCTTTGGCGGGAGGGCCGGGGGGTGGGGGTGGGGTGATACTCCGACATATGTAGAAAGGCCACAGAATTGTTGTGAGCTTCACTGTGGGTCCGTCTGTCCACCTCTCCTCTGCCCCTGTCCCTGCACATGCCCCTGTGGGCACTGGAGCCCAGACAAGTGTCTGGATCCTTCCAGTTGCCTGGCTGCATGCCCAGGTGAAATGATTACAGGGCAGAGCACATGGGGAAAATCAGGTCTGGAGGAAAACCCATGTGCGGGCTGTGCAGCAGGCACTCTGCCTCCTCACTCTCTTGTGATCTGAGTCACCCCGAAAAGGGGAAGGTGAGTGGGGGCAGAAGCACCCACATGTCTGTAAGACAAGGAGCACGCTCTAGGGCAGGGGGTCTGACTTTCTTTGACCTTGAGCCACAGGAAGAAAAACCTTTTACATCGTGGCCCAGTAGAAACATAACTATAAATGTATAGCTATAGATAATGTGTGTGTGTGTGTGTGTAAATAAAGTGGCATAAAGTTGAAACAGTTTTATGACCTGAAACTTACTTTTATTTCATTGGCATGCGAGGCACTACGACAGTTTCTCTTCTGTTTCATTAAGAAGAAGGAAAGCTGGTCCCGTCCCGCTGAGCTGATCTCACAACGCTTAATGGACGATACCTGTGGTAAAGACGACCCACATCCTGGGAGAGAGGAAAGAGCGTGCAGGGCTGTGAGCTGGAGCAGCTCCCAGCAGAGCTCCTGGGGCGGCGGGCACGGTCTGTGCAGCACTGTTGCCCAGTGTGGGGGCTGCTGGCCCCCGGTGGCCGTTGAGCACGATGTGGCTAGTGCAAATGAAGAACTGAATTTTACATTTCATCGCATTTCAATGCACTTACATTTATAATAAATAGCTACATGTGTGGCTCATGAGAGGCTGAATTTTAAATTGTGTTCTGTTTTCATTAATTTAAATATATAATAAGTAGCTGCATGTGGCTAGTAACTCCTACGATGGATCTGGGACACTGCCTTTCTTTTGCCTCTAACTAACTGTGTGGCAGCGAGCCCCACCCCACACACTCCCTGTTCTGTCCTGTCCCTTACCAGCAGGCCTCCCGTGCAGCCCTGTAACTGAAGACTGGACTCAGCTCCACCGTTCTGGGTCCTGGTGGTTAGGAAAACCAGTCTTAATGCTTACCTGGGGCAGGTAGTTAATTAAGTGCCCCTGGCAGTGTTCAGATAACGGTGCTTTGCATTTGTAAATGATACTTCAGAAACCTTTCCCTTCTTCCCTTTCAGTGGCTTGATTGCTCACCTGTGTGACTTGACAGTTTGAAAAGAGAGATGCTTTCTGCTTAATGAAATCTTAGCAGCCCATCTTCACCGACTTGCTGGGCTCCTGGGATGGCATTTGCAGCCTGAACATGAGTTGCTTTGCTTTCCCCAGTTGCTTTCTTCTTAAGTAAAAGAAACCTCCCTCTAGGGCCTAGAGTCTAGGCAGATGTAATGGCCAAGAGGAAGCTGGCAGTGGGAAGTTGAGTGTATAGGTTACCATCAGGGTGCGTTGGTTTGTTTTTGTTGTTTGCAAAGCTAATGTGTACCTTTGAGGTTTGGAGGACAGACTTCTAGGAGTTGGCATTGACCTCAAGGCCCTGCTGAAAAAATGAAGGGGCCCAGGAAAGGAGGGCGATGGTTTTTTTCTCACTGGGTCTCAGAGAATTCTGGTAATCAGAGTCAACCTGGAGGGGCTTTGACAGGGCACATAACTCTGCTTATTTTACTTGTCAGAAAATGATTTCTCCTCCCAGGCCCTCACAGCGGAGAGGACTGAAGGTGAGATGGGTGGGAAGCTCACAGCCCACTCATTTGTGCTGAGCCAGCAAGTGATCTGAGGTGTTCTGCCAGTCATTTGACTCTGACAGGAGAAGTAAAAAGAAGGACAGAAATTATGTCTGGGAAGAGCTCTAATTCATGACATTCAGAAACTGGGAACAAGATCACCAGCTCCCATTGGAATTAAATGGCTCCAGGCTGCTTGAAGAATTTATCTCATTCACTTCTGTCTGTGTGTGTGTGTGTGTGTGTGTGTGTGTGTGTGTGTTTTCCAGGGACTAGATAACGAGAGGAGTTTTAAAAATGGTGCAACGATAGCATTCAGATGAGCTGTGTCAGCTCCTCCCACACATAAAGGCAACCTCTTTTGTTAAGAGTGCAGTACGTGTCATGTACCAGGAATCTCACTTAATTCATACTCGGAGGAAGTGATTAGCTTCATTTACAGATGGAGAATCAGAGAGGTTAAGTAACTCACCTAGTGGTGCACAGCTAGCAACTGCCAGCATCAGAACCTGCACCTGCCTTTCGGGGGGCCATTAAACTGTGCTGCTTCTCAACGTCAGGCCTGGTGAGTGGGAGGGACCTGCGGTGCTCCTGGGGTTTGGTGATTCAGGGCACCATCCTTGGTACTCGCAGATGCCAGCACTCACTGGCATCCTCAGTGTCCATCACTCCGAGAGGAGGGACATGGGCCCTTTGCTTGCTGGCATCCTTGGAGGAGGTGGGGTGAGATGGAATGATGGAGGAGAAGCATCCTTCTCTCTGAAGTCAGAGGGAGGAATTCATGGTGAGGGAGAGGGTGTACCCCATCCATACCAAATAAAGGGAAAACCAACAGCACACCATGGCAGATTTGGCTGACAGGAAACAGCTGCCGAAGGAGGAATGGGCAATGTGAGGGCAGAGTGGTACTGCCCTGCTCGGGAGGGTGGAAAGTGTGAGCTGGCCGTGGATGGATAAACAAGGGGAAGGCTGACTCATTAGCCGTGTGAGGCTGTGCTGGAGGAATCACAGCTGTGGGAGGGGACTCGGGATACCCAGGGTGTGCAAGGGTCTGTATGGGGGCTGAACGGGGAGGGCAGAGGCCCTCGGAGAGGCTCTGACTCAGTGACACCAGGAAGAGAGCTCGAGCCCTGAGGGCTGCCCTTGATGGTCAGGAGAGCAGCGCTGATGGAGGGACCACTGTGAACAAGACACACGGCCAGGGGACTCCAAACATGATGACATGGCCTTCCTGCTTCCAAA